TTCCAAATTCGATTAAAAAGTTTCATGGTCTAGTTTTCTAGAAAGCTCATTTGGTTTTAGAGGGAAGTTTAAAAGATCCCAAAAGTCCCACTGTGGCTCATGCTAGTACACTTGGTGTACTCCAACAGTATCGTAGGGGTCGAGAAATTCGGCCGATTTTCCGAGAAAATCTTTGCCAAAATGACCGGATCGATGATTTGAACTCTCACGGGATCATCCGCTGAAAGAGAACGAAAACATGTCTGGAGCCCGCGGTTGTGTGAGTTTGTAGTCACAGCAAAGTCTGTAACATTTTACAGGCTTTGTACTTATTTCCCGCTGTCTAAATGACTTTTTGATCACGTTCATTTTTTGACTAATCCCTGAGAAATTTTTCGAAGAAAAAAAAGTTCGCGCAAATGTTTTAAGCATACATAGTTCGATTTAGTTTTCGACGCTGATTCCAAATATATTGGTATTTTTGACTCGAAGTCGGATTTTTATGAGCGAAATACGCTTAATGGTAGTAAAAAAGGTGATATAGACCGATCAACCTGCAGAACAAGTCTTATCCGTAGATCTCAACCCTTGCTTCGAAGCAGCAGCCATCTCTTTTCACTAAGCAAAACGTACGACATCAAAAATCATCTTCATATATAGACGGCCGACAATGGATTTTTTGCGTCTAAAGTACGCCCTTCATCGATTACTTATCAAACTTTTAATGCGCAACTGAAAGCATTGTGTAAACACGCTGTTCTTTTCCGCCAAAACGATGTAGGTTTTTTCGATAAGCCTCGGTACGACTGACCTTGAAACGAACGTTGTTTGAGACCCTCGAACCTGTAAGATATCAGTATGTTAGGAGGATTGATCTTTGACTTTAACTGTGATCATAGGATTGTACTTGGGATTCTTTCTAAGAAACCGGTTTCCCAAACACGCGAAGCATTGTTTCGGGAATAGCATCAATTGCTCTGATCCAATCTGGAGAAACTGGAAGATCAGATTTTCCCACAATATATACTATCGATTACTCATACTCTTTTGATGACGAAGGAGAACAATAAGGGCTATTGCACAGACATGTGTCTGTTCCTTTGCCACATTTTACTTATGAAAGGAACCAGCGTCACTATGGACTATGAATAAGGATGGAAAAAACCAACCTTTCGCTCTCTCACCCGGTCGCTATAATATAAAGAGGAGCAGGAATGAGAAAAGTGTACCATCATCTGCTTTTTCTTTTAGACACTATATCAAGCAGTTGAAGAACATGGGAAACGAACTTACTATTTCTCTGCCAGTGGAAATGGAGACGAATGAAACCAATTTCTGGAAATTGTACGATGACCTTGGTAAAGAAGACCTCAGATAAGAATGCTGTGAGAATATTTCAGTTTCTTTGCATTAGAGCTGTTCTAAAATGGCGTCTACTTTTGGAACACGGCTGGAAAAACCAGTGCGGTATGTGATGTGAACATAGGACCATTACAGACGCTGTAGCTTCGGACTCTCGGAAAGTGCCTTTCCCAGGAAACGCACGACGGCAAATTAAAAACCTTATCAGGATGACCGCAAGTGGCCAAAAAGTGAAACTCTCAAAATCTGGAGTGAAAAAGCTTCATTCAGCTGTTTCGTTATGAAAGGTCCATTTTGCTGGGACTTGTCCGATATCGGACAAATCTGCTGGATGTCATCACTTTAATGTGTCTGGGAGCAGGGGAAGGTACAGGATTTCTACCCTCGCAAACTTCACTCATCCACTTTTCGTTCCTTAAGATGGAAAGTTTCACAAAAGGACGCCAAATGGTGCTGCTTTGTATCAAGAAAGGGGTACAATGACGGTGAAAATTGGCGCAATTTTTGAAAGATCTCCCAAACTATTGCACTTTCTTTCTTAACTTAAAGAAGTCGTCAAGTTGGTTTAGCCTGCCTTGCGTTGCAGCAAAACATCCGACTGGCTTGTCGTATGTCGAAGACAAAATAGTTAAACGGATAATCAGCTGGCTTATTGGTCACTGGACGCCAGCAATACCGCCCGCGAATAGAACAAATACTACAGTTCTTAGACCTACTACAGATGCTATTCAAAGTGCGGGTAGCACACGTCAATATAATATTAGCACGGCTCGTATCGATTTTCAAGGACAAAATGTGGATGGAATTCATGATCGATTCTCAATACAAGTGGAAAATGAAACATTGGCCATCATACATGTGAATCGAGCACTCTACTCGACCTCTCTTTCTTCAAGATTATTTCGACGAGCTTTTTGGCTATCTCTCCTCATTCAACAAGAGATTTATGTGGACAGTGAGGCGAGTGTTCCGGCTACGATCAATGGAAGCAAAGAAGGCTTTCAAAAAGCGAGGGACAATTTTTTCCGCAAACAACCAAAGCGTGACGGTCTCTGAACGACATTCTACTTAGTCATGGGCTTGATTTGATTTATATCCATCCGTTCTGCAAGTCTTACAAATTGTACAAATAGCGTTGAATAAATTAAGAATGATGTCTCTCTTATTTTCTTAGACACGTTATAAGCATTCCAGATGGATATGTTAATGAAGCAAATAGTGGAGCAAACTAGTAGTAGTACTCAAATGCCTTCATGGAATGTGACTTCAGATTGTTATGATGATTATGTTAAAGAAGTATTTCCATCGTGACTGGCAGATTTTTTAACGACAACGATAAGTCATACCGAAACTCATTTGAAAGCCATTCATATCGGTTTAATTGAAAATCAATACAAAAAGTTACGAGATAATCATTATCCCAACAATCATAAGCGCTACTATCATCGTAGACAAAAAATTAAGCTAACGATTCAGTTCTATTTTGAGATTCTGCTTCTGCACTTGATTAACGACGAAAATTTGCTCCTGTTTGTTAATCTGTGTTACCCGAAAAATAGGCATTTTGAACAGGATTTCTCTTTCTATCTCTAATAGCGTTCTTCTCACACAGCTAAGATCACTAAACTAATCTTTGCACTAGTGTCAAATTTGATCAATCATCATCATTCAGGATAACCATATCCCCTTGTATTAATATTTTGTCGAAACGAATTGGATAATTCTCGACTCCATAAATATCGTTCGCCTTATTCGTATTATTTGATATTACAAATTCTTGTTGGTTTTTTTGTGCGATTATTTGTTCGTGATTTGTGAAAATATCGGGTAAAGTTTTTTCTCTTATAGAAAAATGAATCAAAGTCTTGGCTTTCGAATAGTGGAAAGCACAACAATGTATTAACGATACAACTTATCTTAAAGTTATTGCCCATCTCAAAAGAGAAAAGCTTTTTATAGTCAGTTCCTTTCTTTCTAGCAGATAAGAGTTTTTCCAACGATAGACTGCTCATATTTTTGACTGATATATTCTTCCAAGTAAGCCAACAAGACAATAACAATATAAAGAAAAAAAAATTTAGAACCGGAATTTGTTCTAAACAAAAATGGAATTTGTTAGAGTTGAGAATACACTAAACCTACTAACCGATTTTGAAACGAAATTAATCGAAAGACAATAATGACAAAAAAATAGTGTGGAAAAATATAGGTGTCTAAAAAGAAATAAAGAACAAAAAAAGCATCAATAAATACATTGCACATCAAATAAATATGGATATCTACGATCTGTTTTTTTTATAAAATGTATCTGTTAGAGAATGAGAAAACAAAAAACATTTCAACTACTGTTCAATTAAACAAAAAAACGACAAACACCGGTAAATATAAAGAGCTCTTCATGACTCTCATTTGAAAAGGAGAAGCTTCAGCGGTATTATATACTATAAAAAGCCATCTCTACGTTCTAGATTAAAGACGTAGCTATCTTTACTCGTATAAACAAATTATAAACTTGAACTTTATGTTTCTGTTGTTTATTGATTTGAAGTCAATTGTTGTTGCTGTTGAACATCTTTTTGCGACTGAGAAGTATCTGTCAGAATTTGTGGTTCTAGCGGTTCAGGAAGTTGAATATCACTTGCAGTTAAAGTTTGATCGAAAATATCATTTTTGTTGTCTTGTGGTGATAAATTAGGTATTGTTTGGTTGTCTTTTAGGTCGACAACATCTGCTGATGTTTGAATATCGACAGGTGAAGGAGATTCATCAACACATAATAGTTTTTTATCAAAATCACTGTAACGTTGATAGGAATCTTGAATTAAATCATTGGCATCTGACGTGGATAACATTAGTTTTGTTCGAAAATTAACTAAAAAGAAAAAATAATTGAAACATCAGATAAGAGAATTACCTAGAGGCTGCGCATAGTATACTACACTTTATCGATTACATCATGGAAGTCCGTCAACAAGCTAAACAAATAAACTTACTCAAATTTTGCTCAAATTTTTCACAATGATAATCAATATCAGAATATAAACGTGTATGTTCATTTAATAATTTTTTCTCGACATTATTTGTGTCATCTAGATCGAATAACGTTACATTGGAAAAGACTGGTTCACCACGCATACAATGAAGAAAGTCTTCTTCAGATAATCCAATATGTTGAGCTTTTAATAATTCAATAAATCGAACGGCTGAATCCTAGTAACTCATAAAAAAAACATATATACCATTCTTGATTAGCACAAACATTTATTTACTGTACATACTAGATTTGCTAAATAATATGCTTGTTCGCCACTTGGTTGTGAAAAATTGCTTAAAAATTTAATATTTGAATGTAAACGTGGTGGTTTTGCTTTTAAAACAATATAAATTAATGCTGGAAGAAAATTATCAGCATTTATTATCGTCGTTTGTTCACTATTATTGCGAGAGTAAGATATTGAATTTCTAATAGCATCAAATATATAATCTTTACATTCCATTATGGACTGAATCTTATCTTGTGGAATTATTTTCGAATCTAATTCAATCAATGCTAAAAATAGATGAATAACTAAATAGTTAACTTTAACTATTGGATTCTGAAACAAATTATTCAATATTATTTTGCTCATTTTCCGTCAATGTATTATGAAAAAGAAATTTAAAAAATTCTTATTATAGAAAATTTATGTATAATTTAACATATCAATCGGCAGTTTAAAATGAGTAAATTTTTCTCTTGTTGATCATACGTACCATTGATAGCTTTATAAATTGACTCTCTAACTAATGGTATATGTTCATTTAAAACTGTTTCAAGCATTTGTGTACTAATCCAATGTAAACTCGATATTCGATTTTGAATAGATAAATCTTGTTCTTCATAGGTAGTCGATAAACGATGAAAAATTAGAGAATAATTTTTTGTAAATATAATATTTTCAACATAATCACGAACACGTACTAAAAATTCTTCATTTTCATCTATATTAGAACAGAATACAAGCTTTTTTAACAATTCAAATTAATTTGTATTCAAATTACATTCTCAACCGTTAATATTATTTTACCTTTATAAATTGAGTTTGTTTGTATTCTTTTCTTCAAATTATCTTTAAACTGACTATAGTCTTCACATAGTTTATCGGTTGATACATTTTTATTTAAACATTTTTTTTGAAAACTATTTGAAAATAATTTAACATAACGTTTAATGTCTAATCTAGCATCATCCGTTGTCATTACATCCAAATGTTTATAAGCTGCATCTTGCTCCATTGTATCGTCATTAAATAACACAGTGTTTTGAGCTGAAACAGAAAGGGCTAATACTTGAAATATAAATAAAATTGTGCCTGTTTCATCTGAGAAAAAACGAATTTTCAGTGATATACAGTTAAATAAAAGGTCTATTGCTGATCTATATGATTTTTACTTGTCGCAACTTGTTTTCCACTTGCTAAGATCGATTACCTAATGATGGCTATCTACTCTAAATCATTCTAGAAATCCGACTTTTACTTATTCCAGCTAATCATACGCAGCTCATAACTTTCAATATTATTTTCATTCTCACTGTCTTAACATGTTAAAACGACAATATTGGTTATAATCGATGGGAGTGGATTCTCTAATGAGAAAAATAGTTTTTTCTAAAAGTTTCAGTTAAACTTACATTTCAAACTTCCCGTACGATTGAGTAAAATTTGTTTCACTGGATTTTTCATATTAATATTTGATCGCCGCCTTTCTTGAAAACTTGTGAGTGATGGTGACGATTGAACTGTTAATAACGGAAGAACAGCCTCATTTGTCAAAGTTGGTGATAAAACCCTAAGTATAATAAAAAAACATGTAAGAATATTTATTAATCAAAAGCCAATAGATTACTTACTCGTGTTTTGCATCGAATTCTTCTTGTACTTGTTTAGCTTGTTGATAAACTTCACGATAACATTTGCTGCAAAAATCATCCCATACTTTATTACCATAAAATCCACATGCATTTCGACATAATTCACTATCTGGTTTTGTACTTGGACTTAGCATTATTGGATTGTTGTAAATAGAAGATCACCAAAATTAACAAATCTAAAGTTGTTTATCACTGACTTTCTTACATTACAACTCTCTTGGCATACAAAATCTTTAGAAACTAAACTGCAGATGAAAGAAACCAAAGGGGGAAAAAACACCTTTTTTTTACCGACTTAGTCTATTAGTAACGTTCTCGCTTCGTAAAATTCAAGATGGAGGTTGGGTAAAGGGATCGAATCCGAACACGAACTTCTTTTTTATTATTTTGTTTCCATTTGAATCAGAAATAAAGTATTATTGTCTCGTTAGCAGTATGATGCAAATGCAACCAACCTTCCTTCTCAAAGTTTATTCATAGACAACAAGGATTTGTGCAATGTGTGATTTGATCAAAGGATGTTAGTTTAGTTTTATTGTTCATCTATTATAATGGATAAATATAAATTCGTCATTTATATGTAAAAAATAAAGGTAAAATCAAGAAATTTTCATTTTATTTTATGGAATATATGCAGTAGATGTGGAATGTTTTAAGACCACAGAATTTGTTGTTATTCAGACGAAGTACTTTATTTACAAGATATTTCTGATTGAAAACATCTGAACTGCAGACATGATTTCATACAATAAAGAAATAAAGATGAAATAAATGGTTGGTATTTTCCTTCTGCGACCATGGTTTTTTCTCGGAACTCGCTGCGCTTGTTCTGTTCAACCTTCTCTTTTCGAGCTGGTTTAGTTTTAGTCGATCTGGATAATTCACCATGACTTAAAACTACTTATTCGGACAATTGATCAGCTCGTGATCTGAGGTGAGGATGAAGCATCAACGATGACATACTAAGCTTTCCCCCTGCTTGTTAATTCGCTTGAAAGCAGCAAACATAGAATCTTTATTTGTTTAGTTTACCTTTATTTTTTAAAGATAGAGGTAAGACTCACTAATCTTTATTTTTAAAAACAAATCCATTTATCTTTATTTTATAAAAATATCTTTTTGAGTTCTGTCTATCCGCAACAGATAGAAAAATGTCCGTCAGGTATTCTATGGACGACCCAATCAAAAGGGAAGAGCAATAGAAGGTACAGGTTAATGCAATTCTGAAGAAGACAATTACCACACAATTGGCAAGTGATGACTAAATATCCGGAGTTCACCAGGGTTTAGTGACTAAAATAATTTTAATAATAAATTGAATAGTGAGCGCTACCTTGCGATGTCAATCAGTCAGGCCTTTTGTTTGAACACGTACATGTAATGGCACCAAAAATACCTTTTTCTTACACGAATGTGTACCGTAATACAAGCAGAAAAACTTGTCACAAAAAAGAAGACGTTACATCATACACATTTACATGTTTTGATTTCCACATTTTGAATCGTTACGTGATATAAACTGAAACAAAAAAATTATCGTAGGAGGACGTCGTACAAATCAACAGAATCAAATAATTCGGGAAAAAGTGCTGCCAGATAGACAATCGACCATGGGGTCGGGACCGATTTCAAGGACTTGGGATGTGCGGTTTCTGTGAGACGATGGAATATCGTAGTATCGGATGTCTCAAGATCTTCATAAGGTTTCAGAGAACTTTTTAAAAGTATTACTCATCACTATTTCTAACAGAATTTATCCGCTGAGCGTACGAGTACGCTCCCCTAGTGAAAGTACTCATACTATGAGTACGAGTTTACTCATAATTCGTCCATAAGTACTCATATGAGTTCTACGGTCCTGGTGGAAAATATCGAAAGGAAAAATGTCGAAAAGGAAAATGTCGATAAAAAAAGAGCAAAACGTCGAAGAGGAAAATGTAGAAGAACAAAATGCCGAAAAGGCAAACGTCGAAAGCGGATAATGGAAGAAGGAAAGTATCGAAAGGAAAACGCCGAAAAGGAGGAGATTTCTT